GAGAGAGAGAGAGAGAGAGAGAGAGAGAGAGAGTGGAGGATAGCGTATATTTTTGCTAATATCCAAGTTTTTAGTAGTTCTGTCATTAGGATAATTGTTGTTGTTATTGTTGTTGTTGTTGTTGTTGTTGTGTTGTTGTTGTTGTTGTTGTTGTTGTTGTTGTTGTTCTTACAGGTTTCTGTGTGGAATAGTTATCGGTCGTCACAGCGGTGAGTTATCGCTTGTTTTCTTTTTTTTTTGTTGACCTCCAGATTTAGGGTTTCAGAGACAGACATACAGACAGGCAGGTCGGCAGCAGCAAATGTTACAGCTTCTAAAGTGTGTGATAAGACTCCTCGTTACCTTAGCTTCTCCGTGGCGTGGAGTCTGTGAGGCTGTAACTGTTTAGTTTTAGTAAGAGTTTTACGGCACTCGCAACACAATAAGGTCATGGAAGTGCCGAAGATTAGAGCTGTTACAAGAGAGTATTGTCATCATCATCATCCGGTGCCTTGCCGACTGGCGTGGACGATCATTAACCTCCACTTCACTCTGTCTTGCGTTGCAGGAATGGTGTATGTTGTACTTGCTGCTCCTTGCCATGTTGTCATCTTGTACAGTATCTTTTCCCTCTGCCTCTCTGTCCATCAAACTTGCCTGTTGTTACAATATTCTCCAATGCTTCTTTCCGCATTGTGTGTCCGAAGAAATTTGCCTGTCGCTTTCTTATATTCGTCATAAGCTGTCTTCTATAATTAGCTTCAAGAGAGTAACAAACTCAAAAAAGAAGATAAATGTTTGATAGGAAAGAAGAAGCAAACCACACCAGAGCACCCGCCAACCGCCCCTGTAACAGTAGTAAATCCCAGAAGACGTTCGGCCGTCGGTGTCGGATCATCTCTTCTTCCACCGGCTTTACGGATGACCGACAAAATAGTATTTTCCTGTGATTCGTGCACGGGGCCGGCGTGTTTCCCACGCGTCAGGTTAGGGCGGTGGGAGGGAGGGAAGAAGAACTTACAGGTTTTTGCTGGGCTTGTGGTGGCGGAATTGTGTAGTTAAAAAACGTTAAAACAATACGAGGAAAGACAAACTAACTTTTTTTAAAAATCCGGGAGGCGGAGAAATGGGGAGTTCACAGAGCTTAAAAACTTGAACAATTTAGCACTCGTTATTTTCTAATTCTCACACATACGCTCTCGGGTAGAGATACAAAATCGTGGAGTCCTTTTCTCGTCTTGGATCTTCCCTTTTTGTTAAGTAAAACACTCTTATGTGATTCAATCTCAGAGCGAAATTTTGAGGAATTGGAATGCAAAAGTAAAAATAAAATAAATAAAGAGTGAGGGCGTAGTCTTTAGCAAGCGATATCGATTTTTATGAAAGCACAATTATAAAACACTGCGTCTCCAGGGCTCGGGCTCGGGCTCGCC